TTTTATGCAACAATTAGTAGTTCAATGTTGTTTCTCAACATATATAAAACTACCAAAATACTGCATAATTTAAAAGTAATTCATTTACCCTTTAAATTATATCTACTACCAACCATTTTAAAGTTAGTCTATCAGAGCAATTCAAAACATTTATAATATACATGCCACTAATGAGTAAAAGATGTCTTAATGATACTGTAGGTTGTATTGATTCCCAAGAAAAGATGCTCTCAGTGTTCCTTACTTCACGTCATTTTCTTTATCTGAACCTACGCATGAAAGTTATCACACGATAAGTGAGGCAGTAATATAACTAAGGTGAGATAAAACATAAAATACTTTAAAACATAAAAAAGTAATTTAAAGAAAATCATTGAAACTTTCAAACCGAGCTATTTAAGCTGATTTCCTCTTTAAAAACCTAAAAATCATCATCTCATGACTTTATCAAAATCATGTAAAAAACAGAAATAACAACTATATCATATTCTTTTTCATTCGTACATATTTCAAAACTTTCATTTTTCATTTTCATATTCTTTTCTTTCATATACTTTTCATAGCTTTCACAGTCACTTTTTATATTTACTTCGCCCAATATATATGTAAGAGAATGCAAGGCACATGCGTCAAACATAATGTGCGCACTAGGCACTTCACGGTACCAAATCACCATCATCATCATAAGATGCACTCCAAGTGCTATCTTATTATATGCACCAACAATGTCATTCATAATGTATGTGAATGTACCATAACTTTACTTTAACTTTAGTCAATTTCTTGACTTGCCAAGTGTACCTACGACTTTCAATGCAACATACAATGGGCTTTCATATTATATTATATTCATTTATTAATCATGTAATTCAAATCAAAATCATTACCAATTCAGAATCATTTTTCATTCATCATCATAAAATTTTAGCTTGGGCAGTTCATACCTTAAAATATTTTAAATAACATTTATAAAATCATCGAGGAAATATTCCATTCATAAAATTATTCAGATTATTCTTTAGAATCACTTTAGAAAATTCATTTAAACATCTTTTTCAAAAGATATCATATAAAAACATATTGGGTAATTTCGTATAAAAAATAATCATAATTCCTTTATATAAAATAATGAAAATATTCCATAATTAAAATAAAATCATACTTTAATAATAATACGAGATTGACTTATCGTAAATCTTCCTCAATCAAAATAATTAAATAAATAAAATGCACCCATCTTTGTCTCACTACCGGACATTTTCTACGATATTCTTTTCAATCCCGTACTTTTTCCTTCCCTTTTGAGTCACTTGGATCTCTAAATTTATCATGGTCTGAATATCGTCATAAAGTATTATGATATCCAATACATATGTCACTATTCTACTAACATTATCCATTTTTGATAAAATAATTTCTATAAGCATGATCGATACTAAATCGATATAAACCTAAATCACAATTTCGTCATAACTTCAAACTTCCCAAAACAACTATTCGTTTCCATAAGTATTCATTTCCATCGTCAATCTTTCAACTTTCACAAACTTTGCACTTAAATCCCCATTTATAATTTTTTTAGAATTCACATCAACTTTTTCATTTAATTCAAAATAGTCCTTCACCATTTTATCTTATTCCAAACCAAACATTAAAATTTCCAGCATATAACTAATATGCTCAATCCCATACTTTAACATTTAAAAACTTGCAATTTCCTCCTTAATTTTCCCTAGCCTTTTCAAGTTCAACCACTAATTTTACCAACTTGCAATTTGATCCCAAACATAAACTTAAACTTAAAAATCAACATTCAAATAAAAAATTCCAGCATTTTAATTTCATACTCAACTAGTGCCTTCACATTTTAAACTTACATTTAAGTCCTTAAATCTCAAGAACTTTCAAATTCCACTACCCAACTTGTTAAATTTACACTTTGATAATCAAATCAACATTCTAACTTAAAATGCATCATTCCATAATTAAATTTCAGCATTGAATACTCCAAATTACACATTTATTCATCAATGCCTCAAAATTCTCAAAACTTGCAAAATGGCCCTTTTACCATCTCAAGGTTCCAAATTGATCCAAATCAACTTCTAAAACTTGTTGAGCAGTTCTAATATCAAATATAGGTCATAGGAAATTTTTTAATATTTCCCCTATTTTTTCTCCCCTTGGCCAAATATAATTAGTATACTAGGACTTGATTATCATTCAATTTCAAGCATGAATTCAAACTCCTATGACAAATTGATTATAAGTATTTCTACTTCATTTTAATCATCATACATACTTGAGAATTAATCTACAACACTAATAACATAAAAATCATCCTTTAATTCTTCAAAATTCAACATGTTCTTCATGAACCCTAACCATGAATATTACCATCCAAGCATGTTTTCCATAAACTCTTTATATCAAATGATAGATAATTTCAATTTCAAGTAGATTAATTCTCTATCTAATAGCTTAATCCAAAAATCAATCGAATAAGCTTAAAAATGAACTTGAAAATTCTTGACTTAATAGCTATGGTGGTTCACGTTTTGGGGCCAAAAGAAGCTGAAAATTCTTGATTTTTCTTCAATTAAAACATAATATACTTTGTTTAATCTAATATAAATGAATTTAAAATTCAATTAATGTGAAATTATTATTTTACCCTTAACGAAACATGATAATTTCAACTTGTCATTGGAATATCTTCCATTTTAATATTCCCAAGTCAAATATGAACAAATAAAAATCCACTTTCCACCTTTGCCCTTGCAATTTTCAAAAATTGCACTTTAGTTACTAAAATTAACAATTTTGGCTTAACATGAAAAATCGACCTTAATTCCACTGATTCATGTTAAATTTTATCGTTCTAAATTATGAAAAAAAAATAATATTTATAACATTTTTTCCAGCATCCTTCAAATTTTCGTGAAATTCTGGTTCGATCCGTTATTCAATTTCTTGTCGTACTTTACTACTTTATAGTTTTTAATACAATTCTCGTATCAAAATTCTGATTCCCATGAAAATGTTAATTTTGGGAAAAACTACTAATTTACGTTCCAAAATATATAACTTTTAGAAATTATATTTTTGGTCCCCTAAACTTTTGTAAATTTATACTTTGGTCACTAAACTTTAAAAACATACATTTTGGTCACTACCCAAAATTTGGGGTATTATTGTGGCATTGTTAAATCCAACCCTAAGAAAACATAAATAAAAGAATGGCTAAATGATCGAGAAAGAAAAAGAAAAATGTGATACAAAGACAAAGATAAACGTCCCATAAAGATATAATTATTCTTATTAAAAACTAAAAAAAATAAAGAGAAAAAAATTGACGATTGACAACCAGCATCAAAGCCGGTGTAGTACCGCCTAAACAAAATTAAAAAAGAAAAAATTGATTTGGTCTAAAAGAACGACACAAACCCAAAGTAAAAAAAAAAAGAGGAACGGCTAGGTTTCCTTTTGCTCCAGTTAAAGCTGTTTAATAATTTATTAAAAGATAATAATTATATAATATAGTTTGATCTTTAAAGCTATAAATCTGTGGTTTTATAACTGTACGCGGAAATATTAATTTTGTAAACTAATAAATCAAGTATCCCGAATGTTTAACTGAACTTATGGTTTTTGTTGGCCCTAGTTTTATATGTATCATATGAGTTAACAACTTAAAGTAGGGTTTCATTTTGAGTTACTGAATGAAGTGTCAATTTACCAGCTCAACAAGATGGTTAATACCAATCACAGATGCGTTTTGAGAACAACAGTAGAAAAAAATGAGAGAGAGAGAGAGGAATAAATGATTGTATTACATACTGCAATTGTATAGAGAGCGAGAGACTGAAATCATGTGATCTGCTTAGATTAATTCGAAAAACACCGATAATTCGTTGACTTTCAAAAACACTGAAAATATCAAAATCGAGTTTTGAGATGGCATCAGTATTAACAATAGAACCATCTTTTTCTTTTGTGTTGTTCCTTTCCTGGCTGAGCCTTTTTTAATTATTTTCTCTCATCCCCTTCGTCGTCCCCCATGGTGTTCACATTTAGAGTTTTCTCGTTTTCCCTAAAAAGAGTAAAAAATGCAAAGATGAAACATGATTCGCTACAGTAAAAGTATGTGCAAGATTATTAATATACATACATATACATAGAATGATGGTAAAGGTGTGGGGTGCTGCATTTGTCTCTTGCCTGCTTTAAGCATTCAATGCTTTTTGGCAACACTAAGGTGGTGAAGAATGGAGATATTTTTATCTTTCCCATGGAAAACTTTAGCCCTTCTCTGCTCGCATTACATATAGTACATATATGTACAGATGCACCGTCCTCCAATGCTCCTTAAACATACCTAATATTTAGCCACAGAACCCCTAATTCCCTAGCTACCTGACTGAATCATGGATCATTATCTGCCTTGTTTCTATTCTTATTAATAGTATTTATTAAGCAAAAACTAATATATATATATATATATATATATATATCTTCTGTGTTCGTACTCGCTAAACTATTTTCTTTGGGGACACCAGCAAGACTTAAAAGAAAGTTAAGTCTTGGTTTGATACTAATCACCATTATATATGAATGATTAATCTCCCGTTTTGATAGTCTCATCGATTGTTTTGTGATGTTAATAAAAAAAATATACTTATATCTTTATTGTTCTTCTTACTATAATTAATATGTAAAATTTATGATTATTTCTATTATTCATGTATTGTCGTCTCCAATGAGTTAAGATAAATTCTCTCATTATTAGTAAAATTCATTGATAATTTATCAAAATTAAATCTTACTCCTAATTAATTAAAAATAAGAAATATGTGGAGACCAGAGTTAATTTCCATGCTTGATTAATTAATTTGTGTGGCTACGATGAAATGAAGTCTATCTTGAGCTTTTTGGAATTATTTCAAGTGGGGGTAAAATCTGCAGATAGGGTTTCTTTTTCATTTCTCGAATAAGGTGGAGCAGCACAGTAAGCATAGTATCCAAGATCAAGACTTCACATTTTGCTTTGTTCCCTTTTTAACTTTATGTATTTGGGTGCCATTCATATATGTGAAATCACGTGAACCTCTTATTTGCCCTTTCTGATCGTCCTTTATAAGGAATTTTGCCACTCGATGCCATGGCGTAGGCCCCCTTTTGCCTTTTCCTCTCAATCATTCATCCCTTCCCTAATCTCAATAAACATACATACATCTCTCCACCTTTACTGGACGACTATGCACGCCAAGCGCATCACTTGGTTGCTCCATCTTCCTTAGCTTATATTTCCTCATGTCTTCTAGTAATTGCTATTCATCTCTTTATCCTTTTCCTATTGACCTCAACGAAGACGTATATAATGTTGAGCAGCAGTTCCATGATCTAGAAGAGGTACATAATCATCATTACTTTCACTTTTCATGTTATCCATCTTTGATAAACTTAGGGTTTTAACTTTTTTTTTGTTTCCTTCGAGTTCCTTTAGCTTTTTTAGGGTGAATAATTATTGATCACTTGAATTTTTTTTTCTGTTGCTTCAGGAAAAAGTATATGTTCCGGAAGATGGACCATTGAAGACTGATTGCGAGCTCAAGTTATCAACATGGAAAGAAGAAGAAGAAGAAGAAGAAGAAAGGGTTGAAACTCATCAAAGTCGTGAGAATTTTAGTTCTGCGAACTGGATGCCTTCGAAGATGAGGATCTTAAGGAAGATGATGAACTCGGATCATGTCGATCTATCGAATAATTCTGAGCTGAAATCTAAAGATCAACACAAGCAGCAGCAGCCATCATCGTGTACGGATCACAGCGGCAACTCTTATAACAACAACAGCAGCAGCACAATTAGGGTTTGTGCTGATTGTAACACAACCAAGACTCCTCTTTGGAGGAGTGGACCTCGAGGCCCCAAGGTACTAAATCTCCGGTATCTCTCTCTCTACCTCTCTTTATCAAAATCCTTGCCCTAAAAGTGAGCTTAAAGAGTATAAAGTCTAGTACGATACCTGTTTAAGAAAATTAATTGACCATTTTTTTTAATTTTTCTGCTGCAGTCGCTTTGCAACGCCTGTGGAATTAGACAAAGAAAAGCGAGAAGAGCCATGGCTGCTGCTGCTGCTGCGGCAGCGGCAACTGGCAGCACTGCTGTTGCTGCTGAGACAACGAAAACGGCAAGTGTGAAGAGTAAGGTTCAACATAAGGCAAAGAGATCAAGCGACGATTGTGTTCCACATTTCAAGAATAAAAAGTACAAGCTTACTCCTCAATCCCACAGCAGAAACAAACTGTGTTTCGAGGATTTAAGGATAATCTTGAGCAAGAATTCAGCTTTTCATCGAGTTTTTCCTCAGGATGAGAAAGAAGCCGCGATCCTGCTGATGGCCTTATCGTATGGACTTGTTCATGGCTGAAAATTCTCTCCACCAGCTGCTCATATATATATGTTGTTTTCTTACGTTTTAATAATGTTGGAGTGTACTATGTACCAGCTAGCTAGATCATAAATGCCCGAACAGTAAAAGTGAGTGAGAAAATTAAGTAGTTAGGAAAACATAATTAATTAAATAAACAAACGAGATTTCGATCTTTTGAGCTTGATCACGTGGATTTGAACAAGCAGATAACCAAAATTGGGGAGCTCTTGTTCATCTACTCTTATTATATATATAATGCTATGAATTTAATAAAATTTAAGGTTTTATTTATGTCTTGTAACACTCCAAAACTCGGGTTAATAGTTCGGGTCAACTCGAGACTCAAGTTTGAGTTAAATGGACCTTAAAGTATAGTGGACCAAGTTTATTGTTTTTGGGCTTGAGTTAGGGCCCAAGAGTTTTGGTGGTGGGTGTTGTGTAAATTAGAAGTTTGGGAGACTAAAAGTATAGTTTACCCATGGTTAATTTTGAAAGTTGAAAACCCTCCCATATATTATGTTTTACATGAACCACCCCCTTATCTTTTCACCAAATGCTCTTCTTCTTTCTTCCCTCTTCCATTCCAAGTGAGAGTTCAAGCATTTCAAGTCTAGCGTGGTGAAACTAAGGTGTGAATGTAAATCTTCATCCTCCAATCTTTGTTTTCAATTCCATTTCATTAGTTTTTATGCATAGAATCAAAAATGGGTCTTGAGGATTCGTGGGAATCTATGGATTCTAGCTAAGTTTTGAGTTATAGGGAGTTTTATTAGATGTTATTCAACCCCTAGATGGATTGGTAATCCATTTTCTCATTTTGTTTAGTGAAGGAGACAGGAGAAAGCTCAAGAGCTAAAGGAAAAGAAAAGTTGAATCATGAGTGAGTTGAGAAAGTTTCTAGCCATCCAAGGAGCAAGGTAACACCTTTACAGCTCTTTTATACTCTTAGTGGGTCATTAGAAGTTCAAGATAGTTTAAATGTTTGAGTTGAGTATGATAATCATTTTTATGGCGAAATTCTTGTTTTAGAGTTATAAATGTGTTTAAAGTCTCTATTATGAACCTTGTTGATCAAATAAAACTTTAAGCATGTTTGGGGACCTCACTAAGGTCTTTGGGGTTGAAAAATAGAGTTTTTTTGTACTTGTTTTATGACTTCTGCAAGTAGTGTATCAATACTATAGGAATAATTTATGGGTAGGAGTATCGAAAATCTTTCAAGAGTTTCGAAACATTGGGTCATAGTTTCGAAACTCCCATAAAGTATCGAAATTGGGCAATCCATAATGCTTAAAAGTATCAATACTTACATAAAGTATCAGAACTTTTGTAGTAGTATCGATACTCTTGGGCTAGTATCGATACTTTCAGTCTGTTTTTGAAAAAAATGTCAGTTTTTAAAGTAATTAGACTCGAGGTACCCCAACACTTCTTTATATCATCAAATAAGACAACATGTGAGAATATTAATGATATTAATATTACACTTAGAAACAAAATCAATTAGGATGAAATAAAAATAGCCTTCGATGATGCTCGGGAAACAATCAGAACACCCAAGTTCCTTTGAAAATGCTAGCATTATCGAAAGTATAGATTAAGTCCGGATATATCCTTAGGTAGTGCACGAGGCATTTAAAGCTAACTAGCTTGGGCGCAAGCTCCTACACAAGGAGTGGACTAGTTGAGGGGGTTGAACGATGCTGAGATTTCAGGCAACCAACCTCGGAATACTAGGGGGTGTGAGCTCCGAGATGCAGAACCCTCAGCCGCACCATAATGTCTACCATAGAGTAGAGAGTGCAGTATACGAGTATACTCACTATTGCAGTTATCAGTAGCTTGAACATGACATGAGCACTTTTAGTATGGCTTAGTTGTTAGTGTGGCAATGGGCTAGTTAGCTCAACGTTTGGAATTTGTTTCCTTACGTAAGTTAGTCAAGGAGCAGTCCGAAAACTTTTTGATAGTAGTGATCCAGACCCAAATAGTGCAGAGTACGCCTCGAGTTCATCTTTAGAGGGCATGTATAATTGTAAACCCGGATTTGTATATTTTTGTATGAGTCGTAACTCTTTTTAAACTATGGTCTGTATGATTTAAATATTATTTTGGGAGCTCCTAATGTAAACTATTTTATTTAAATTGTGGTTGATTTATTTTAGTATGAGTGATTACAAACGGTCATTTTAAAACGAAAAAAATTAAAAGAAAAATTTTGGTTAGCCACCCAGGTGATTTCGTGTGGCATTCTGATTGGTCGATTATGTGTCGTACTGATTTAAGGTGTTACATGTTTCTTTTAAGTTTTTTTCTTAATTTCTTTATATGTTTTGCTTATATGTTTTCGATGCCTTAATTTATGAGACTAATTTTTTTGGTAAACTACTAAGTTGACCACTTAACTATTTAGCCCTTTTACTTTTGTCACCGATCTTTCAATTTTGTCAATCACACCAGAAAACTATTTCACTGTTTCAATCAAGCCACTAACAGTTAAGAATTTACGAAAATGATGATGTGGCAGTTAAAAGAATGGGCATAATTCTACTTTTAGTCCTTAATATTTATATATTATATCAATTTGATCCCGATTTAAATTTAATTTAATAAATTAACTATTCAATCAGAATCTATCACATGTCAACATATAATCATGACACATGTTGTTGGTGACACGTGTTATCAGTTGATTTGAAGATTTATTTTATTAATATTAATTTATTCAATTAAATTAATTTTTTATCCAATCAAATGGTCACCCATGTCACCATCTAGTTGAAGGAAAAATAAGCTACAAAGAAGACATAAAAAGGTATTACTGGGCAACCTCAAACCCAGGTCACACGAGTGAGGGGCACACACCAAACCACTGAGCTAGACTCACAGTTTGAGTTTAGAGATGCATAATCATATTAATATATAATGATACTAGAATTAATGCCACCTTCAAAATTTAAAATTAATATATATATATATATATATAAATTAAATTTAATATTTATTTTTATTTTTACATTTATACTTTAATGGTTATATATATAATTTTTAAATTGATTATTTTTAAATTAATTTATATTTAAAAATAATTAATTTAAAATTTATAGTTAAATATACAAATCATTTATATTTTTTATATTTTATTTTTCTTCTAAAAACTGGTATTTAAAATATATTTATATATTTTTTTATTAAAATATATATGAAAAATAATAAATATATATATAAATATATTTTAATTATTAGTTTTTATAAGAAAAATGACATATAAAAAAATAAATTAAATCATTTATATTTTCTATACATTCTATATTTAATAAAAAATAAAATTATTAATTAATTTAACATTATTCAATTTAAAATTATTTTCTGTACATGTCAACCCATACATGGTTATGCATCTCAAAACCCAAACCGTGAGGCTAGCTAAGTGGTTTGGGTTGCGCCCCTCACCCATGTGACCCAGATTTGAGGCTGCCCAACAACACTTTTTTTATGTCTTCTTTGTAGCTTATTTTTCCTTCAACTAGATGGTGACATGTGTGACCATGTGGTTGGATAAAAAATTCATTTAATTAAATAAATTAAAATTAAAAAATTAAATCTTCAAATCAATTGATGACATGTGTCACCAATGATACGTGTCATGATTATATATTGACATATGTCAGATTTTGATTGAATGATTAATTTATTAAATTAAATTTAAATCAGGATCCAATTGATATGATATATAAATATTAAAGACTAAAAGTAGAATTACGTCAATTCTTTTAACTACCATGTCATATTTTCATCAATTCTTAACTGTTAGTGGTTTGATTGAAGCAATCAAACAGTTTTGTGGTGTGATTGATAAAATTAAAAGATTAGTGACAAAAGTAAAAGGGTTAAATAGTTAAGTGGTTAACTGAGTAGTTTACTCTTTTTTTAGGTGGGGTGGAATTAAAAATCGTATGATGGTGATAAATCAAAGGTCAGCTAGGGTTACAGCTTTAATTATTTCATATATTCCTGAAAGTTGCCGGAGAATGTAACTTTGTCTTGGACAGTGTTTTTTTATTCATGTCCGATTATAAACCGTATCTTTGCATAAATGCTTGAAAGACTAGTACGACAACTATAACAGAAACATGCTCCGGTGGATCTATGAAATTTAAATTTTCTTTGATTCAATAATTATTTTATGAGTATTTATTTTGAAATTTTATTGTGTTTATCATAAAATTTGAATTTTTTTCAATTAATAATCTATTTTATTTATAATATCCACTCTAAAATTTTATTTATGTTTATTTCATTCAAAAATTTTATATTATCAATATATATATATATATATATATATATATATGGACAGTCCATTGAATAAAACTTTGCGCTTTTCGTCAGGCGGTCTGCGATCAGGTTTCCTATCCTTGGAATGTGGTTGATTTTCACCCTCCAATCCTTCTCCAAAAGTTCCTTGATTGCATGCATTGGAGTAAAAGATTGACTTTGAAATAATTTTTAAAAACTCGCAACGTTTTATAAACTTCTTTTAAATAATTAAAAAAAAAATCTCTCATCAAAATTAGGGATAGGCATGAGATCCGAACCCATTGGATTCTGACTCGATCCAATCTTATATGATCAGATTTTTTATAAAAAAAAAAATTGGTTCGGGTTGGGTTAGATTAGGGTCGGAGTTGGGTTGAGGGCTAAAATAATCCGACCCAACCCGATACTTAAAAGTTAAAAAATTATTTTTACTCTTCAGTTTTCTACTTTCCCTTCCTCTTTCCCTAATTAATCACAAATCCTCTCTAAGTTCATGCTCAGGATTCACTCTTCCCAGTTTGATTTATCCTCCACCATCGAGAATCTTGATTCTTCTTCTTTAGTTTCCAAGTTTTCTTCCTTGACAGCAACAAAACTCAAGACTCAACAGTTACAAATCCTCGCTTTTCTGTAAGATAAATGCTTCTTCTCCATATTTTTTATTCCATGTTGGTTTTGCATGGGTAAAAACTGAAAATGACCTTATTGATTTAACCCCTAATTACAGTTTAATTTCATCATAAATCAATAGAGTTTTTAGTCAATGTTCATTGAAATTAGTAGATTTTAGTTTTTACTTCAATTTTTATTTGAAATATAAAGTTACCGAATAACTTTCTGCTAGTAATGTTCTTTATTAATGGTGAAAGAAACAAGACAGTAGGCTAAAATGTTTTTTTTTTCAATCATAATAGTTTCATTTTATTCGACATATACCAATTTTCTATTTTGATATCAGAAACACCAGTTTAAACACAACTATTGTTTTTACTATTGCTAAAACCATACATTTTCTTTCATTAATTTATTCAAACATTGGTTCTCCTTTTGGAAGATGAAACAAAAGTGACAAGAATTATATACTAAATAGAGCCTTTGTTATGGCAGAACTGTAAAAGTAAGTGACAATAACACAAACATGTTTAAAAGATTCATTAGTAAAAGATAGAACATACATTTAACTCGCTGTCTTGTTTTCTACTTTAATTTGCTAGTTCACAAGACTATATTAGTTTATAGGTAAAATGTTACTGACTTGCGGTTTTAATTTTTTTCTCCTTAATTTAATTTATTTTCTAATTGAAAAAATGAAGAAAATTTATTCGGGTCAGGTTTGGTTTGGTCTATATAAATCGGGTCGGCTGAAATCTCTTTGAATGCGAGTCGGGTTGGGTTTCGGGTGGAATAATTATTTTCTTGGGTTAGGTCGGGTTGGTCAAAAATCTGACCCAACCGAACCGATGCCCATCCCTAATCAAAACTCTTAAGAGTGCGTTTGGTTCACGAAATGTAAGATTACCAGTGGGAATAAAAGATTATCAGGGAATAGAATTACTGGGAATGTTGTATTTTGTGTTTGGTTGGTTTAACATGAATGTAAGATTACCGTGTTTGGTTAAAGGAATAAAAGATTTTTGGAATGTATATTTGACCAAATTATCCTTATTATATATTTGTATAATATTACAAATTGTAAAATATTTATATATTTTCTTTAAAAAATTAAATTCATAATATTTATATAATTTTTTTACAAAATTAAAAATATAAAAAAGGTTTAATGAAATGGTAAAAAACAATTAACCCCTGAACTTCATATAAAATTCTAATTATAGACTTTTTTTTTGTAAATCTAAAATAATTTAAGGATAAATTTGTAATTTAACCTTCGTAGACTTTTTATTATTCAGTGACAAAAGAAGAATATTTTTGAAAAAAAATAAAAATTTAAGGGCATTTTAGTCTAAAACACCGGTAATGTTACAATACCTAAGGGAATGAAGGTAATGACATTCCCGGTAAAATACCTCAAAAAATCTACTATTGGTAATAAAACATTACCGTGAATAGAATTCCCGGCCAACCAAATATGGGAATGTGGGATTTCCATCCCATAGAAATCCCACAATCCTTGAACCAAACATCCCCTAAAATCTTTAAATGTTGTACTTTAAAATGATGGTACAGGGGAGGGGTGTCTCTTCTCATATTATATTTTGACGACAGTGAATAGCAGGGGTGAATACTGGGCATTATTTAACTTGAAATTGGATGAATTTGAATATTGAAATGATTATTCGCGGCATGTTTGAAGTGAATTCATTGATTGACCTTTAATCATTTGCATGTACTTCAAGTGTTTATATGGATAATAAGTATCGAACATACATATGATGCTAGAATTTATATATTACTTTTTTAATTTTAAAAAGAATCATTTAAAATTTACGAGTTATCTAATGAAATTTAAATCTATCTATTTATCTATGTGTGTGTAGGAGGAGGAGAATGTAAATGAAGGGGCTGAAAAGCATTGAAGCCGGAAGGGCTGCGGCCTTTGAGATGTTGTTATGGAGGCTCACCAATCAACCCATTAGAATGAAACTCAAGTCTTTTATCTTCCAACGGATCCCACATTAACCTCTACAAGCCCGTTTGGGCCACTCTTTATTTTCAGCCCGGGCCTCGGAAAAGTAATTTAGCCACCGCCCGATCAATCACCCCGGGGACTGGAATATTCCTATTAAGAAACGTTGAAGACTAACACAGAAACAAAGTCTCTTGTTTTTAGCTTCCATCGGACTCCATTGGTGATTGGTCCAACTCACCTTCTCAGCTAAGACTATCATTCGGCGACTTACCAACCAACCGTCGGTGTAACGCCTCAAAGTTCTTGCTTTCTACGCTCCAATCTACCAAATCACTTTGCTTATTCAAATCTTCCTGATTTCTCTTATTCTTTATGAGGCTTTGATTCACTGTGGAGAAGGTAGAAGAAAGTGATGACGGGATCCCATTCGCCGAGTCAAACAAAGCCAATACCATTATCGACAGAAGAAGATCCATCAACCCAATCCACCGCGTTACTGTCTTTCAACACTGATTCTTCTCAAGAACCGGAAGCAAAAGGATCTCCTTCGAAGGCCAGCACCACCATCCTCTTCATTTTTTTAATTCTCCTCGCTTCTGTTGCTCTTTCGGCTGCATTTGCCTTTGCTTTCCTCTTTTACTCAACTTCCCATTCATCGTCTTCAGCTACAGCGCGTAACTTCTCTCGTCCTTTGAAGAAACTGGAAAAACCGGTGGTTCTTTTGGTTTCTTCTGATGGGTTTCGATTTGGGTACCAATTCAAGACCCCAACACCGAACATCCACCGTTTGATTGAAAACGGGGTTGAGGCTGAGATGGGTTTGATTCCTGTTTTCCCTTCTCTTACTTTTCCTAATCATTACTCAATTGTTACTGGTCTTTATCCTGCTTATCATGGTATTATAAACAATCATTTTATTGATCCTAAAACTGGCGAGTTTTTTCATAGTGCTAGCCATGAACCTAAGTGGTGGTTAGGTGAGCCACTTTGGGAGACTGTGGTCAATCATGGTTTAAAGGCTGCTACCAATTTTTGGCCCGGAAGTGAGGTGAAAAAGGGTTCTTGGAATTGCCCTGGAAAGTTGTGCTTGAAATATAATGGTTCTGTTCCCTTTGAGGATAGAGTGGATACTGCTTTAAGTTATTTTGATTTGCCTAGTAGTGAGATTCCTGCGTTTATGACTTTGTACTTTGAGGATCCTGATCATCAGGGTCACAAGGTTGGACCCGATGATCCCCAGATCACTGAGGCTGTTGCTAGAATTGATAGAATGATCGGGCGGTTGATTTCTGGTTTAGAAAAAAGAGGGATTTTTGAGGATGTTACTATAATTATGGTTGGAGACCATGGGATGGTCGGTACATGTGATAAAAAGCTGATTTTCCTAGAGGATTTGGCGCCGTGGATTGAAATTCCGGCCGAGTGGGTTCTGTCTTTTAGTCCGTTGCTTTCTATTCGTCCACCTTCAGGTTATGCACCATTGGATGTTGTTGCAAAGATGAACGAAGGACTGGAATCGGGGAAGGTTGAGAATGGGAAATATTTGAAGGTTTATCTAAAGGAGGACTTACCTAGTCGGCTACATTATGCTGCAAGTGACCGGATTCCTCCCATAATCGGGCTGATTGAGGAGAGCTTTAAGGTGGAGCAGAAACGGACTAAGCCAAAAGAGTGTGGAGGATCACATGGATATGACAATGCAATTTTCTCAATGAGGAGCATTTTTATTTGTCATGGTCCTCAATTTGCCAGGGGGAAGAAGGTGCCCTCTTTTGAGAATGTTCAGATATATAATTTGGTAACTTCAATTCTCAATATACGTGCTGCTCCCAATAATGGATCTTCAACATTTCCCGATTCTATTCTTTTGCCTTGACAGTAATAACTATCTCCGATGCATGTTTAGAATGATCTTAGTTGCTGAAATATACTGTAAAAGTTGGCAAGATGATAACTGCAAGGCCAAAATGACTACCTGTTTACATGATGAAGAGGGTGCAGAAGGAGGTTAGTGAAATAGGATTCCTTGAGATGAGTATCAGATGTTTGTACTTTATATCTCCTATAGCTCCGTGGCCCCATCTTTTCTTATGTGAAACTCCTTATTTTGTGCCATTATGATGTTGTAGAAGTATATAGTAAAATTACATTGCACCAGAACAAAGTATTCTAATATTTGTCTCTGTTCCTCCACCCTCCTTAGACCTAGGCCATTTCAATTAAATATATGCTCTGTTTTGTCTTCTGAGAAGGCAAGGCTTGCATGATTTGAGCTCATTCTTACTGGGGGGAAATTGAATATTAAATTGCAGGGTCGTTGAACTAATTCAATTTAAGGGTACAATTTCTTTACATCGGCTTGTTTAAGAAGGTTTTTCAATGACAAAAGTCACAAAACTCGGATTGTCAACTAACAATATCAATGAATGAGTTTCCTATATGTCTTTGTTTTTACGCATCAAGAAGACAATGATAATACTTGGATCCAAAGCAAAGTAGAAAGCGAGAGGGATCTGCAACCATTATTGTCTACAACTACCGACTCCCATATGCCTGGGAGAACCAAAACCCGAGTTATTTTCGTCACGTTTTTCAGATTTACTGGGGAAAAACATAGAGATTTCGGCAATCATTTCTGGCCACACAAAGTATTGAATCAGTCCTGAATCTTCCTTAGAAAAGTACTGTTCCACGCGTTCTTACAAGTTTCACAACTGGTGTCGTCACAGCTTGCAAATTAAATGTTCCCAAAAGATGTCCATTTCAGGTTTCATTTACGCTAAAATTGTCCCCTTCTTTAACCTTACAAATGTGAAGTCTGAAGGTTCAGGGGATATAGAAGAAAGAAACAACCTTTCGTTGATTAGGTTTGATAATTTCATGTATTTGCTGGCATTGTTCTGGCAGTTTTGTCTACTCTCCGGCTAACAGAGGACAAATTCCTTTCTACTGTTCCCTTCTTTCTTCTGTTCTCAGCTGGAGAAAAAGAGAAAACCCAATTCAACAACCTTAAAACCTCATATTGTTCGTTCAAAATTCACAACTTGCGACACACGTTACATCCAAACCACCAAAATTCAGAGCGTGTTTTTCTCTTTGCCTTTTCCTTGTCGAACCCCAATTCTTATTGGCTTTCACCTATATAAATTAATGATTAAATCCCACCAAAGTTTAATATCAATCAGAAAAAGAAAACATACTGCATTATACTACCGGTATATAAAAAAAAATCTTCACGTTAAGGGTATATTCTGTCTTAAGAATCTCTAAACTAGACTAGACTAATGGCGGATGTTATAAGATTGTCAGCGGCAGCGTTTTGTTGTTCATCGTTGCTCTTTGCATCCACATCGAATTCTTGACAACCAGGTCTTTCACCCAAATTTAATTTAGGTAGTGGAAGTTGTAGTCTTTCTTCTTCTTTTGCCTGTGTTTCTCGCCTTAAAGACTTCCGGAAAGCAATTGCTATCTTTCAAGGTAATGGGGTTTACGTTGTTATTTTAGAACATAATTTTTTTCAGATGATTTTTAGTTTTCCTGCCTTGAACTTTACTGGCAGTGGCATTTCTCCATACCATATATGTAGAAGGAGCTATTGAGATTGACAAGTTCTTGTTCTGTAGGCGCATGCAACTATAAGTCTATAACTGAAACAAGCCATCCGAAATGGTACGAAATGAATGCAGGGCCTAATATGATGACATTTACTCTACTGAGGAATTTTTTAGTGCCTTAAATGATGCTGGAGATAGATTAGTTATCATTGAATTTTATGGAACTTGGTGTGCTTCTTGCAAAGCTTTATTCCCCAAGGTGATTCATCCCTTTCTTAACACTATTTCATGTTTTCTAATATCTGGAACCTGCCTGCTTCGAAGTAGCTATGATGATTCTGAATGTGTGTTTTTCTGATGTTGCTTTGTGATGACACCGGCAGCTCTGCAAGATGGTTCGAGATCGCCCGGAAATTTTGTTCCTCAAAGTCAATTTTGTTGAGAATAAGGCTATGTGTAAGAGTTTGAATATTAGGGTGCTTCCTTATTTCCACTTCTACCGTGGTGCGCATGGACAATTGGAGTCGTTTTCATGTTCACTTGCCAAGGTGTGTATTTTATCCAGGCTTCGAAACTGGCATGTATAGATGATTGATTAGCTCATGTAATTCTTTTCCTTATCAATTGCAGATTCAGAAACTGAAGGATGCTATTGAAATGCATAGCCAGCCGTGTAATGTCGGTCCATCAAAGAGAGTCGGAGGTCTGAATCTTTAATCTGTATCGGCTCCATTTAAAAAGATTGGAGAATCGAACTAAACACGTGATCCGTTATAAATATTGTCTCTATACATGTGCTTTGCCATGTATATTGCACACCAGTAACCTCTCCTCTTTTGGTTTTGCACAATACTTATGCATATTGCCATTCTTTTACCTGTAAAAGAATAGAAACATGGAATCCCTAGCTTGCCGCATTCTTTTTCATTCTTATCCTGCCCGTGATATCTGTAATGTGACCTCACAATTCAATAAGAAATCAAATTCCCATGTCACTGTTAGATTATTATTTGTTTTTGGTCCATGGAATATTCAAAAGTACTGATGATTTATTCTTTGAGATGGGGAAGAAGCAAATAGAACGCCATTAACGAAGGCTGTCATTCGATTTCGAACTACATCGTCAACTTCTTTACGAGAAAGCTTTGTTGCAGAAATAGCTGCATTATGCCATTGGTTGTTTTGATAATAAGAGAATGAGTTGCATATGCCGGAAAACGATTAAAATATTCGTTTTTGGTATATGAAGAGTGAATGAAGCTTGCTACCCAGCTTCCTATATAATATATTATATTTGCTTACATAAAGAAAACAAATGCCTGGGTCTGATCTTTTACAAATTTGGAGATTACAAATCTTATTGCTTAGATCTGAAAGCTTACCAGGCTGGCTGGCACCGGCAGCGATGTCCCTGGCGAGGAGATAATAAACAAATAGAAGGAAAGTTTGGTAGCTTTGAAGGCAAACAATAATAATGTTTTTTGTTCTCTTTCCTTGTGTGAACTCTCAATATTTTTGTTAGGTGAGTTGGGTCTACAGTTTTGTACTTTTCATGCCTTTTCTCCCTTCATTTAAAGCCACAATATTCAGACAAAACCAAACAAAATAATCCACACTTCTGGTGGTTGAGAACTGTCAACTTTGTTTGTGCAAGATTACATCACTTTTGATCCCCCGATCTCATCATTTCCATGTAATTAAACCATAATCTGCGTCTGCAACCCCACTTTTCGATTATAAGTTCTGCAAATTTGAGGGGATCTGCATATAATATAATCATAGATCGGTAAACAGCTTCAAAAGAAAGATGAAAATGGTGAATTTCAGGGGATGGATCCACCACCCACAGATGGAAAATGGACCCCCTTTCCGCTTTCTATACAAATGATATCGGTCCAGTCCAAAAGGAAACAGAGGAATCTTTGCCCCATCCATTAAGCTTTTAAAGGAATCATCATCAATCATATCAGCTTAGCTGCTTCCCGCCCTCTTGTTTTTTCTTGTTCCATTTATCAACAGTTCAAGCAACTCATCTAAATCCATAAACACGACAAACGATGGAACAGAGACAATAATTCAAAGTTGCACAGGGTACTACGATGCATCACAAAGATTTAAACTTTTATTGACCGATTTCCTTGTTAACGGTTTGGATTTGGTTTAAGATCGTTTCTTTTACATCAGTTGATCGGTAATTCCCATCTTTTTAATTGATTCAGCATGCTTGTATAAGCATATATTATACTTGGAACTCGGATTTGATAAACTAGTTTTTTGTACAATGAAACACATTAAACTCGCACTTAGGCGAAATGCATTGCAGAAGCAGCCTTGAAGTGTGTTCTTGTTTAATAACAGCGTCCTCTTTCTCCACCAGAACCGCCCCAACAATCCTCTCATAGCCTGCTCCGCCACAGTTCGCCACATAAGCCACGATCGCCGCCTGAGCCGGCGGCAAACTGGGGTTATAAGCAGCCGATTCCATGTAAGACCCTTTATGTATCTTCCCTTCAACGTCCAGCAACGCCACCCCCGATGGACACCCGCTGTAAGGCGCGTGGGACATATTGGCCGCTTCAAGAGCCGCGTGTTTTAAGTCATCGCCACCGTTGATTTTTCCGTTGCATAAATCGCTGCGAAACCACAAGCCGTTTCGATGAGACTCGAGGAGAAGAGGGGCATCTTTTTCTAGCAAATCGTCTGGGCCGAACCTGTGAGGCAAAAAATGAGACAAGGGAGTAAATTCCTGGTCGTTATCATTACAATTGTTGTTCATTTTGTTCTCCTTTTCGTCTTCCGACGAAGTTATGAGCAGCTTGACATCGGGGGCGCTACGGAGCTCTTGGAGGAATTGGCGGCAATGGCCGCAAGGGGCGGCGGAGACGGCGAGGTACTTAAGACGCGGTTCCGCATTAATGGAAAGGTTGGTGATGAGGAATTGCTCGGCGTGGACGGATTGGTTGAGGGGAAGACCCGGGAATTCCAGATTGACCCCGAAAAATATCCGACCAGACGACCCCATTCCGACTGCTCCGACGTGGAATTTGGAGATTGGAGGGCGGGCCAAGGTCTGGGCGAATTTAACCAACGACGGGAGGAGTTGGAGCACGGTTTGGCCTGATTGTTTGGCCATCTGTTCGGCTTCGGCGGATTCGATCACGAATCTGGGTCGATCCATTTTGAGAGATTCGTTGATGGGGTTGACCCGTTTACAGAGAGGGCAAGCGGGTCTTAGGGTGATTTTTGGATGACGATTGAGGACGACGAGCGTTGTTTAGAATGACGAAGGAGACGGGAAGAGGGAAGGAATGAATATTAGTGGAGGTATTTATAGTAGAATTGGTTTATGGTTGTCATGAAAACACTAATTCTTTACTACGGTAATTTTTACTATACACGTCCTTCAAAGTTAACCCTTTTACCGTTATGCGAGTAAAAGATAATTATACTTTTATAAAGAAATATTATTAATTTTAATTTCTTTCAATTTACTTTATTTTATACACATTAAATATACAAATATCCTTGTAATATTACTAAATATTTTATATGGTTATTAATTAACAAAAATTAGAGTCAAAATACTTTGTCCATGGGTTTGAAACAGGAAAAAATGAATTTTAATGTCCGTTAAAATCATCATATCTTATAT